TAAGCGACTAAGCGACATGTTAATAATAATACAAGATAATAATAATATTCTAAGATAATTAATAAATAATAAAATAATAAACTAATAATAAATTCGTTCTATAACAATATCTTGATGTTTCAATATTCAAAAGAAAGCTTAGAACTTAATCTTTCTTTCGAATATAAATTATCAAACTAGTTTCAAAATTCATTGAGATATTAGCTGTAAAAGTTGAGGTATAGATTTTTTTTAAAACGTCAATTTGCCTGATTTCTATTGATAGCAGCCCATATGATTTAATTTGGATACTATTTGAATCATCTCAGAGATAAATCTATTAATGCCAAAATTAAATTTAGCCATTGGGAGCTACTAGACCTTCTATCCAGTGACAAAAAATTCACTAGAAGCTTCCAATGAGCAATAACTGGAGCTTGCTACACCATTTGAAAGCATTTCATTTCCTTTTAGTAGCCATCTAGTTCTAGTAATTGTTACTAGAACCTTCTAATAAGCATCACTGAACCAGTATATAAAACATGAGTACATATAACTCAAAATCTTATAAAACCACTTTTTGGGTTTTAACAAAATAAATCTTATAAAATTTTAATAAACTACTTTTTAATCTTTAATTTTAATTGATTTAGTTTTTTCTTTAAATTTTGCAATAAATTACATACATAGTGTAATTTAATAATTTTCAATAATAATTCAAGAAAAAAAATCTAAGTTTCCTATAAACTAAAAAATATACAAACTTAAAAACTTAATAACTAAAAAAAATTTATTAATTTTTGAAAAACTCTAAATAACTACTATTTAACTTATCAATTTACCTTGAAAAGAACTCTTTCCGATGATCATTTGAACCAAAAATTCCAAAAAACCTTTTGACCGAGAAGAAGCATAACTGACTATAACGACACTATAAGACATAGAAAAGAAGGCCCCAGGACAGCAGTTGTCATTTAGAGGTAGTTCTTATATGCTACCTGCTGACAGCTTTAGAGTTTATCACTTACTGTACCTTGGTAAACATGGCACTTGTCATTTAGAGGTAGTTCTCATACACTACCTGCTGACAAGCTCAGAGTTTATCACTCACCGATAAAATCAAGTACTGTACATAGTTGGAATAGTTGGGTGTGAACTTTTGAAAAAATAAAAAAACTAATACTCCTTTTCTTTTGGTGATAGTATCATATGGTTTTTTTTTCTGCCGTCTCTGCCGACCTTACCAAAAATTTTCGACAAAAAGTGGGTGATTTAGCTTACCCCCCTCCAAAAGATCAGCATTGTTTACACCTAATTCGGACGAACTCAGTAGAATGTAACCACGTGTTTGTTTTGTTTATTGATGTGATGCTATGGTACGAGGAAGAGTTCAGTACCCCATTTTAGAGATACCCAAGTGAAGTCGGTGCCCAGAACGAGTCCCAAAGATAAAGCTTAGCTTTACAACTGAGATATAATAATTAGTTGCAACTATTATATAATTTTTACTTTTATACCTGGCATGGGCTATAATAGTGTGTCATGTTACTTTCTTTTTTTTCGCCTTTTTCATCTTTGTTCATTTATGTTAGACTATTTTAGAATTTGTTGAAAAGTTTTTTTTTTCCACCATGAGGTGTTTTTTTTTTTTCTAAAATGTTTATGTCTTTTGTAAACATGGCTTTATTTTTTTTACTTTTATATACGAATAAGGGTTTAATTATATTGTCGAGCTTAGGTGGAAGGAGTCTGAAAGAAGAGAAGGTAGTCATAACGGGCCGTATGATCCATCTGTTGAGGTATAGTTTTGGGCCAAATGCAGGTCGGGACTATAAGGAAGTAAATCCTACTACAGCAGGTCAAACATAGGTGCTTATAAAGTAACCGGGTTAGCTAAAAATTGTAATTTAGGTAATTAGAAGGTGGCATTTGTTGTTTAGAGATAGTTCTCATATGCTATCTGCTAACAAATTTAGAGTTTATCACTTACCGTACAAATCCTTCTTCTTAATTCATATTAGTTATAGTATCTAATATTTAGCCTAATAAATTCGAAGCATGACTGCCTAATGATTTTTTTTTTTAAAAAAAAAATACTATTTAACTTATTGATTCAGTTATCAAAATTTTCAGCTGCTATAAAATCCGAATTTAACCCAAATAGCCCTTAAAAATCAAATAATATATTCAACTTATCAACATAATCTGCCATTATAAAATAGATTATTTTAATTTTGAGTGTAACAACGTAATGCACAATATTCATGTTTTTTTATTCACTTTAATTTAGGTTTAAGAATGAAGATTGCATTAATTGAAATATTACATCTAGGTTCATTAATGTTTACTGTCATGCATCATTTTATCTTATTTATATTATAAATAAGATAAAGTAATATTGCATGACAGTAAACATTAATGAACCTAGATGTAATGTTTCAATTAATGCAATCTTCATTCTTAAACCTAAATCAATGTGAATAAAAAAAACATGATCTTGTGCGTTACGTTATTAATTAATCTCTATATTCAAAATTAGGGATGGTAAAGTCCAGTCCAGGTCCGGTCCTGGTCTTGTAACCTATAGGTTTTACTGCATGGACTTATGGACCAGGTCCTTATAAAACCAGTTTTAGGACTTTTGTTAACTTAGGTCCAGTCCAAGACTTAGTCCTAGATAGAGGTGCAGGTGAATCATGCCGTAACTTTGCCGTAACGTGCCGGAACTATATTAAATAATTATAAAAAGTTACGGCATACTTGTCGTAACTTTTTATTATCATTTAATATAGTTCCGGCATCATTGGGACGATTCACCTGCACCTCTAGTCCTAGACCCTAGGTCCGCTATATGTTGTAAGAAGGCAGATTTGGGGTGAAACTACTTTTCTATAGTTCGTGGGCTTCACTCCAGAGAGCTAAGGCTACAGGGCGGGTTTGGGGTGACTAGTACTCGCAACCCAAGACACAAAAATCAAAGGCTACTCGAAAGAAGGTGTGGAAGATTTGGTCCGAAAACCAAAGATCCTACTGCTACTAGGATCCCCGGAGTTTATCATTAGATAGTCTTTATTATTATAACACTTCACTTGTCTTCAGATACATGAAGTTGGAAATCGATGGTTATTTATACATTACAGAGAGCTTTGCTACTAGATTACCGTAAAAGTTCATATACAAGACCCGGGTCTCTTACATTCCACCAAAAAAATTAAATAGTAAAAAAAAGAAAATAATTAGTAAAAAGTGAGGGTGGGTCTGATATATGGGGGGTTCTTGTATATGATCTTTTACGGTAGAATCTCTAAGCAATATGACTATTTAGAATATCGGGAGGAAATATATTACTAACGATGAATAGTTCATATTCATTTACATGACTATGACTAGTTCCCACCATAGAGGCACCTTACTATTGCTCTTCAATGGAGCTTCGCCTCAAACCAAACCCGAATTAGCATATAAAATGCCATCACTTTTTCGATCAATACGCATTAAAGTCTCGAGTCTTATGGCTTAGATCACGTTTTTTTGCTGCGGCTAGTTCACATTAGACATTTACCTATTAGCGTTAGAATGTATAATAACAATATTATATGAACTATATACATGATCTTAAACTATGCATTTAAAACTTTATTGAATTATGCTGTGTATATAAGTTATATTGATTAGGCTGTGCAGAAACATGCAATTATAAATTTGTATATTAGGACTTTTTAAAGACCTAAGGACCCTAGGTCCTTAAATTTGGACTTGGTCTTTAAAGACCAGGTTTAAAGACCAGGTCCTAAAGTCCCGGACCTAAGGACTTTACCAATCCTAATTTATATTAGTCAGCAAGTGCATCATTCATCATTGGTTTTAGGACATTACTGTTATTTACTACGTTCCATATATCTCGTTCTACATCGGGTGATAACTGAATTACACGATCCGCAGATCCATTACGAGAACGCGTCATTTTAATTAGTCCGGCACTTTCAAGTCTTTGCACTGGTATTTCAAATTCACTCGAATTTACTGGTATTAAGCGGTCTTTATTCCGGCAGAAACGCTGATATTCCGGAAATAACTAGATGCGATAAAATAGTTTTTTAGAAAGTTAACAAACGAAATATCGTATCAATAATTGTCGCAGCTGATGCTGAAAACGGCTGATGGTGAAATTTTGGGGTCTCTATTTAGAACTATAAGACCTACTAAAACCCATCTATACACTTTAATTAATAAACCCTGACAATAAACTCTACTCAAACTATTATATGAAGACTAAAAAAATGCACCCCCAAAAATTATAAAAATTTAATAATAAAATAATCAAAATTTCAGCATCAGCCGTTTTCAGCATCAGCTGCGACAATAATTTATGCTAACCTCGCCATAAGTAATCTTTTTCATTTTTTTCTTCTTCTTCATGACAACCAACGTACAGATCACGAGCAGTTGAAGAAACTGTAAATCTTTAAGAGTTCGCATCATAGATGTGCCAGTGATATCAGAATTTGTAACTTGATTAATGTGTGTAATTGTAACCTTTGGCGAATTCGAATCACCAAGTTTTGCAACGTCTTTTGCCTCTGGGTCTAATAAATTATCAAAATCCTCAAGATCTTCTGTCTCTGCAAGTTCAAACGATTTTCTGACGACATCTAATGCCTTTCTACAATCGCCACTATCGGCAGCAACTCTTTTTGCGCACAATTCAATGGCTTTATCATCTATTAAAGGTGAATGCTCTTGTGGAGCAGCTTTAAGGCGGTCTTTAATAATATCCGCAATCTCGGAATTGTCGTACGGTGCGAAATTTAAAACTTGAGGCTGGTCTATTGCAATGAAATAGTTTAATAATAATTAGATTATGACAATTCTCATTTTAAAGATAAGTTAATAATAAAACGTTACAAACAATCTTTATCCTTGAGACGAGGAAGTAATTCTGTAAGTTTCGCCATATTAGATATTCCAATCAAAATCAATCGTGAAGTACTGAACGTCCAATCAAATAATTTGTGTAATATTTCTCGATCATTTGTCAAGAGAGAATCGATTTCATCCAATATAACAATGCTATTATGAAAAGAAAATTAAAGACTTTTAAAATATACTAGGTAAATAGAAACTATTTTAGTTCGAAGAACCAACACGGATCAGCCTGACAACACGGTTATTTTCGATAATATTTTTGGTGTTTTTATCTGACAAACCAATCAAAATCTATAATTCGCGGACACACACACACACACACTATGTCTCAACCCGTAATGCTCTTCGAACAATAAATTATTTGTGAACTGTTCTCAAATATATAATTACTTACTACATAACGTTCTTTTTGGATTTTAAAAATAAATTGCTAAGAACTTCTTCAGCATTCTTCACGCCATTACTGGCGATCTTTTGGTCCAACATGCCTAAAATTGTCGCGTAAATTTTCTTCGGATCATTGAGACCCATACAATTAATAGTGACAGACTTGACAGAACACTTGGCCTTTTTTTCGATAGAGTCTTTCATATTATTTTGAATTTCATTGACGAGAGCTGTTTTACCGGTACCGGGTATCCCGTGAATAAAAAGATTTCCTGAATTTTTTTTAATAATATGCTTTTCTAAAAATTCTGTGATCGTTTTTCTTTCCGTGTCGCGACCTACAAGCTTTGCTGGGATAGTAGATAAACGAAAAAGAGACTTTGCTTTTTCATATTCTTCTGCTGACGAGCTCACTTTGGATGCCTTAAAAAAGTCATTTAAACGTGCACTTTTAGATGTTGTGTAAGTTGCTGGAGGGAGGCTAGTTTTAACATCGGTGGTTTGTTGAGTATCTTCTTCCTTAGTTGACCTTTTGAGTCTTTTTGAAGCTGTTCGCGGATTTTCAAATTTTTTCACGATAGCTACCCCTTTCGAGGTATTCTCGGAATTTTTTAGAGTCGAGCTTCTCAAGCTACGTCTAGGAGGCATAGGACCCAAAATAAAACAGAAATATCGATAAAAGAGTAATTAATCTGACGCGTCTAAAGTTCGTGCACGCTTTATATTCTATCGTCCAAATGTAGAAGTTACACGAGTTACACGCATAATTATTCACATGATTAAAAATCATTCTGTCGGAACGGGTCTGAGGGTGAATTGTTATTAGTAAAAAAATAGTTTAACGAATCAAATAAAACACGTGGTGAAAGTTTAATACGTCGGAAAGAAAAATTTTTTAGTGGAAGTTCATTTAACTGATCAAAGGTATTTATCATTCCAATCAGCAAGAGATAGAGGTCGAAACGTCCTTTTATTATCATAGGTTGCGCTTATTGGTCGAAATTTTTCATTGATTAATTAGAAAAATAATTGTTCAAATACTTCACTCCTTTTACATTATTGTCTTCATTACTTATGCTAAAAATCTTCGCCACAAATAAAAAAGGCACGTTTTGTATTCTGTTGATTTGTAGTAAATTCCGAAAAAGAAGAGACAGAATTTTAATCCATCGTTTTCATTATTTTCATTTTTTATTTTTTTTTATTTCGATCTATAAAAACAATAATCGCTAAATGGTAATAATAAAGATGCTTGCTCAAGTATCAATTTCAAACAATATTTTAATTAATCGTAATACTTGAGCACTAACACGATCATAAATTAATTACATTGAGGAAGATACGTGAGCATATTTAATCATATTATCATCCATACTATCGGTTCTCAAAAATAGTCTAATTAATAATGTTATAATGGTTGTGCACTATCTCAATCACTAGCTAATCACCCTTTGTAATTTATAGCAAGCTTTTTTTATTGAATTTATATCTTTAAAAAAATAAAATAAAAAATATAAGAGTTTATAGTTTTAAAGTTAATTAAATCAGGCTAGTTTGGTTTAAGATTAAAAGCAAATCAATCTTTTTTAGGTTCAAACTAGTTTTAAAATTAACTATAGTTTATTAGACCAAATTATACATATCGGCGGATTTTTGGAATTTACTATTGAAAATCCCAAAATTATTTAACAGTGAATAACTTTCGATCCACTGGTCCGTTTTCGACAAAACAATTACCAAAATGTTCGTCTCGTTGAGACGATTCTAATGGACACAAAATCGTCAAAATCCAATCACAGAACCCCGAGATCGATAGAGATTTGCGTCACTTCGGGTGTTTTAGGATTGGTTAAACCAATCCTAAAACACCCGAAGTGAAACAAATCATTAAATATATCGGGATCCTGTGATTGTATTTTGTCAATTTTGTGTCCATTAGAATCGTCTCGCCGAGACGAACATTTTGGTAATTATTTTGTCGAAAACGGATCAATGGATTAAAAGTTATTCACTGTTAAATAATTTTGGGATTTTTAATAGTAAATTCTATACTAAACTAAATATGCAGTATATTAAAAAAAATAAAATTCAATAAAAGTTTTTTTTAACACAATTGAATATAGGTTGCAACAAGCTATTATTAGTCTAAAAAATGTGAAAAATATTTTAAATGCATATTTTTTAAATTTTATACAATACTAAATAGAGTAGAAATTTCTTAAGCATGTTTGGAGAAGCATGTTTTGAACCAAACACATGTATAATATTTATAAATATATACTGTATATACCAATATCATTTTTGTAAAACAGTTAATATTATAATATTACCTAATCAAAAAATATTTTTATTTAATATTATATATATTTTTTAGAAAAAAATATACCGGTATATAGTGCATCTGTGCATTTAGTGCCTCTTTAATTGCCAATAAGTACAATATTAAAGCACTAATAATGATTAGGGTTAAAGTTAAAGTTAGAGAAGGTTTAAAGTAAAGTTGTGTAAGAAATATTTTTTATTAGTAGCACAACAGAGTAAAATTTTGAGATATAAAGGGGTGTACCAAATGCATAATGTATTATATAACAATTTTCTTTTGTTTATAAGTTTTATATAGACAATTTATTCTTTTGATATATTTAAAAAACAATTTATTTAAAAAAATTAAACATTTAAAAAAAGGTTAATTATATTGTATATAGTAAAATAGTAGTAGGCACATTGCTAACATATAGTAAATTTAAAATTATAGCTACTTTATAGCTACTTATAGCTAATCACAAGTAACATTAAAGTTGCAAATTTTTAAGTTTCAATAAAGTTCTTATTTAAACCAAATGCTTTATTACATTTACTATTTAAATACTAATCAATATATTTGTTTTTATACAGTATAATCAAGTTTTTTTTTTTTATAAATCTACTTCAAAAAGAAGCTTAATAGTTAAATAAAAATAATTATCCGGCATCCAACAATCGGGCTTACCAAATAATTTTTACAGTATTATTGGAATACAAACAAGGTATCGAATGTTCTCAATTTAACAATATTTAAGAGAACTATGTTAGGGAATAAATATAAAAGAAATAAAAAATTATTTATCATAATTATAAAATAAATAAATCATTAAAGATAAGCATAGTTTGAATTTCTTTTACTTGTTAATTTCTTGATACACAAATAAATCAAATTCTAATATGAATTAAAATAATTAAAGTATGCTTCAATAAATTCAATAAATAGGATAATTATTTCTTTTTAAACCCAAATTTAAATGTCGATTTCTGAACCTTATAAGGAATAAAGAGAATTTAATAAGCTTACATCACAAAAAAAATTAGATATTTGAAAGCAAAGAATCACACACCTCTGATTGCTCCAAAGCAGGTTTACCAATACCAAATGTGAATTTTGATTTCGATGAGTTATTTTCAGCGGAAGTTTTGTTGTCAATTACAATATCAACATTTTCACTTCTTTCTGGAACAGATTGAGTGTCTATAGATGTTACGGCCAAAGTCCATCCGCCTACATTAGGCTTTGTGGATCCAGATGATGATAACGTATTCCATCCGGATGTTTCAGATGTCGAGGAAGACCATCCGCTCGTATTACTTGTTGCGCGAACGAAACTTGGTCCATTTTGAGTGCAGTCGGTAGATGTTGAAACATCAGTTTCGACCGATGAAACCCATCCGCCATTTGTCTTAGAGTTCACAGTACTTGTGCTTTTAATTGTTTCAGTGCAAGTTATGTCATCATCAACGGACCCCTTGGCAAATGATGATTTATTGCCAACTTTCTGAAGCGCAGCTTGTTGTAACCGCGCCATTTCTTTTTCTTCTCTCTTTCTCTCCTTCTCGCGTTTTTTATCCAACTTTGCAACTGGACGATTAATAGTCTCTTTCATTTCTTTGAATCGCTATAAATAAAAACGATTAGTAAGGTAATTTGTCGTGAATAATATAGATTGAAATTTGGACTATACCTTGCGATGGTTATGATCATATGAACTCAAATGTGTTTCATATTCCGTTATCTTCGTATATTGCTTGTCACAAAGTGCGCAATAAAAAGCTGAATTGATAATTTCCAATTCTTTTTTAATGGATTCTTGTTTTTGTACTTTGTTCTATATTAAATTATATATTAGACTAAATTTAATAAAAATGAATCTTATTTTTTAATTAAAATTAACCTCTCTTTGTTGACGCTCTTCTTCTGTTTCTTCTGCGATTTTCTCACTATCTAACGCTTTGCGTTTTGCAGTACTAACTACATGATAAAAATTCTCTTCCTCAAGTTTTCCAACACCCAGACAATCAGATTTTGTATCTATACGAATTGGTTCTTTTCTCCCTATAATTATTTATTAATAAATTGTCAGATCAAACATAAAATATTAGAAAAATTCTAGAATCTGGTAAATATTAACCTTGTTGTAAGCTTCCAAGTCCCTGGCCGGCTTTCCAACCCATTTTTGTTAATAGTTTGTAACCCACATTGCTCTCTGGAAGATGTATATCCATGCTAGCCATGTCAGTGTTTGACAAATCAAGGTATGCTTGCGGAACATGACCGCGAGGGAGAAGAAAAACTTGCTCTTCCAAGGGCTCATCATTTTCTTCAGGTTGTTTTTCGCTAGTCAAGAAATCCTGTTAGGTGGGACACGGTAGTATTTCCACGTAGATGAAGAGAGGAAATGAAAGGATGATATAAAGAAAAAGAGAGGCTAATGGTAATATATGACTTTATTATGAACAAAGATTCATTCAAGAAAACATTTTCACAATAAAAGTTCGTAACTTCGATGTGCAGAAAAAGCTTAATAAGAGGCACTAACCTTGGTATCCTGAGATTGACTCGAAGTATTCGAAGTGTTGGGATTGTACATTATTTAGATATTATTGATTAATAAAAAGTCAAAATTCGGGATTCGATATGGCAAATTAAAAAGGTTTCTCGGATAGCCAATCAGGTACCAATATATGATTGAATCTCTTGATTAGCTATTCTGATCTGATTATCAAAAATTTTATGAATTCTTTTCTTTCTCGTTTCAAATTACTTGCAACTTTACAGCAAACTTATTTGCATATTGTCAATAAAATGCCTAGGGGAGTGGTTGCAATTGTGGGTACCACAGGTGTTGGTAAATCTGAACTTGGGGTTCAATTGGCAAAAGCTTTACACGGAGAAGTAATCAATGGAGACTCCATGCAGGTATTAACCCGACAAATAGGGTTTAAGAGACTTTTTTTAAAGTATGACATCAAATATTACTCTTGAGACTCGTGGGTTTCTTTTATAATGGACACCTATAAGCACATGATAAAAAAAAGTGTATGATCACTCTGGTTTACTAAAAGATTTCCTGATCCGTCCTAATCCGAAGACCTATTCGTGTTTTTGTTTTTCAACAATTTTAATTCTAGAGCAACTATTTATTATGTTTATATAATCTAGGTTTACAAAGGATTGGATGTAATTACAAATAAAATGCCTGTGGAAGAGCGCGAAGGAATTCCACATCATTTAATGGATTTTTTAGAGCCGTATCAAGAATATCGCGTTACCGAGTTTACTGACGATGCCATAAAAATTGTATGAAATTCTTATTATTAAAAGGCACTTGATTGTTAATATTATAAATTTCATAATTTTTATGTCTCGTATAAAATTTAAGATTAAAGAGATTCATAGTCGTGATCGTGTTCCAATTATTGTTGGCGGAACCCATTATTACATACAATCCTTGCTTTGGAAAAATTCACTTATTAAGAGCTACGATGACGAGTGTGATAATGATTCGGAAGATGATGGAATCTTGAATGCAGAGACAGATGTTCTATATAAACGCTTACAAGAAGTTGACCCTGTAATGGCTAATAAATGGCACTGGAATGATAGAAGAAAAATTAGAAGAAGTTTACAGGTATAGGATGCAAATTTTTTATTACAATATGTTATTCAATGATATTCTAAATATTCATTTTTTAATACCAGATATATTTGCAAACAGGAAAACGTCATAGTGACTGGATTAAAGAACAACATCAACCAGATGAGAAAGCTTCGTCATTGAGGTCAAAATAAGTTAAAATTAATTACAAAAACAATTTGAATCATTATCGATAATGGAGCTAATACCTTTAGCCCTTTATTATAGGTTTCCTCTGACGTGTATTTTTTGGTTATATGCCGATCCTAAGGTCTTAGACCAAAGACTCGACAAAAGAGTAGATAAGATGATCAAGGTAAATGTTGGTTTGTAAAACTTTCAAATATCGTTTCACTTAACTATAGGGATTGGAATCAGTATAATCGACTAAAAAATTAATCTAATTAACCACTTATACTTAATCGATATACTTGGTCGACTAATTTATTCCAACCCTTACTTAACTAAATGTTAACAATTAATTTCTATCTTTATTGATCGTTATCTCAGATGGGCCTCTTTGAAGAACTAAAATACCTCAGGAATAAGGTGAAAACCGATATTTCATCTGGCATAAGCATAGACTATACACGTGGAATTTTTCAGGTCATAGGTAGAAGATGTTATTAAGCTAAAGATGCTATAACTTGTACAACAATGATGATTCAAATTTTGGTTTGTTTGGGTAGGATATAAAGAATTTGAAGCTTATTTAAATGCTTTGGAAGAAACACCATATTTAGACGATAAAGTCATCGGTTTGTAAATAGTGATGGTATATATTAAAATAATCATTGAATTTATAGTTATTTATGCCGATTTATATAATTAGATGCTATAAAAGAGTCTAGTATTGAAGCTATGAAATCAGCAACACGTAGATACTCTAGGAAACAAATTAGATGGATTCGAAATAAATTGTTACTTAAATGTCAAGAAAGCAACTTGAATGATGCAGATACAGATTGTATAAGTAATGTTAGAGTGTATTTGCTGAACACTACATGTATCCTTTTTCGTTTCGTCCAACTTTCAATCCCCTATGTTCCTATGGTGCGTCTTTATTAAGAATATTCTTTAACCGGCTTATTGACTCATTTGGAATGAAAAGCTCTTGAAAAATGGAATCAAGATGTTCGTGATGTGGCAATTACTATTGTTAAGGGTATTCGTCTTTTTTTTTTTTTTTTATTATTGTCTTTTTTTTTTTAATGAGACAAAGCGTGTAATTTTCTTTATTATAGAATTTTTGGATAAGGGAACTGGACCAGACCCAAAATCTTTAAGCCTGGAAGCAAAAGAACTTTTGGATCCAGCGATAGATACAAAGTATTTATCAAATAAAGATTAATTTATTTTTAAAGCGGTCTTTTGCATTTTATTAATTAAAATAATTCTTATTACAGCACCTTTGACAACTTAAAAGCTTGGACAAAGTACCAGTGTGATATTTGCAAAATTTTTAATGACAATTCACCAGTAGTGATTAACGGATTTTCCAATTGGAATCAGCATTTACAAAGCAAGTGGCACCGATCCAATGCTAAACTCAAAAAAGAGATGGATATGAATTGGGGTGGACAATTTCCACCTTGGTTTAAAGAGAGAAAAAAAAAAAGTTAGCAAGTTTACAATAGTTAATTTAATTTCTCATTAAGTATTAATATTATCATAAAAATTTTAAAATTGTATTATTTTATTTAAGTGTTAATCATTGATTTTCAAGATAATTTTCTTAATAAATTTTAACTTCAAAAGATTATTATCATATATAGATATACAAAGAATATTAACAATTATTTACAAATTTGTCTGTAATAAGCTCTTTATATATATTTGGTAGTTGTATAAAATTCCAATTGACGAAAATCGTGTAAGAAGTCAGAGTATTGATCAATAGGTTTATGACACTAGTTATTTTGATCACTGGTAAATTAGCAAACAATGTTATGAAGAAACAATTCTCGAAAGGTGTAACCGATTTTGATGAAGGTATAAGAGTTTCTTTAGTATTTGAGAGCGTTGATTAATGAGCTAAAGAAACTAAGGTTGATATTAGTGCTCCAAAAGAGTCATTCGGGTCGGGTTTGGGGTTGAACCCGTATTTGTTCGAACAAACTCGGGTTTGAAAATATCTATTCGTGTATTATTAAAATTATCCGGTTATCCGGTAATTTATTATAGCTCAATCTCTAGGCAAATTTTTTATCTATACTATACTTTCATGCACATTATACTTTTATCACTTGGGGTCGTGTGTAAATTTTCGGGTTTTATGTTCTGGGGTCGGGAACCCGGGATTTTTGACCCCTTTCGGAGCACTAATTGACACTATAAACAAAGATAATAGGTTTAAAGGTTTTTTGCGCTTATAGACGTGCGTATAAACGTTTAGGCGGTTGTGACAGTTGTAAAGTTAGTTTTGGGTTCGTTCGTGGTAACTATAGAAAACTGCGCAATTTAGAATTGGCTGAAAATTTATTATAGCTGGGAAGTTTGTAGATACGAAAATATGAATATTGATACATTATGTAGAAACAGGTTCAAGTATAGAACAGATTTATAATGCATTGAGAATTAATAAAATCCGTGGAAATAAAAGATTCGATTTTATGTGCGCAACTAGTAAACTTAAAGAGTGTTTTATGTACATAAGCTAAGGTTATATAAATACGTCAGGTCATCCCTTATTTATCCCATTCCAAAAAAGTAGAATTTCCTCCAAACAAAACGGACGTTTCCGGTCTTCATGAACAATATCCAAACAATGAAGGCGATCTTATTGTTCTACCAATCAATAAACGCCTAGACATTATCTAATTGTTGTAGGTCTGTCGGTCGAACTAAAGTTTGCCAATACTTCTATCAGAATTGTCTTCACTACGGTTGTTATTATCACGGTCGTCATCACCATGGTCGAAATATTTCAAAGTATTGAAAAAATACTTTACAAGTTTTCATTCTGGTATTGTGCTTTTGAACACTACCGGTCTGCAACGACAACTAAATAGCTTAAAGCTTGGTCAGAAATTTTGGGTAGGGTACATTATTTGACAGAACAATAAGCAAACATCTATTGAAGGGTGAGGATTTATATAGAAAATTTTCCAAATGGGATTGCGCGTAAAAAAATAAACGCGAAAATCAGTGAAAATTCTATCACACCCAGCCAATAGAAACTTTAGAGAAATCAGGGTCATGTGTAACGTGAAAATTAAAAATTGTATGTGATCCTTGTAAAGTTTACTGAATAAATCTTATGCCTAGCCCTAACAATGTATTTTCTCAGATAGTCTCAATGGTGTAACCTCTGGAATACTATAATATCTGTGCTTTTTTTTCTAGTTTAATAAGAGATAAGTTTTAGTTCACTCTTCTATATCTTCTTTTGTAATATATAAAATTTTATATACTTTATGTTAAAAATTTATAGGTGTATTGTATATAGATAAGTAAGCTTACAGATTATTAAACATGAGTATGACTAAAAAAATGAAATTTCTTATAAAAGTGGTGATTTGTTTATAGTATAAAGATTAGTGTTCATTAACTCTCATTGTTGCAATAGTTCTTTATTAATCTGCAAGATGTTGGTATTTTGACAAGAAAAATAAAGCCCAAACAAAAAGATTATTATAAAAACAACCAGAAGATACTTTTACTATACTTGGTAAAAGCCATTACTAATATACTCAAATCAAAAGATCAACTGGGATCTTTGCTAACAAAATGACCTTCCGAGGCTATGTTGATTTTGTGAATAAAAATTAAATTTGCCAGCCATCTAGCAATTCAATTTGAATGAATTTTTTTTTATTTTGTACAAATTAAAAAAAAATTCATTCAAATTGAATAACTAGATAGCTGGTAAATTTAATTTTTATTCACAAAATCAACATAGCCTCGGAGGGTCATTTTGTTAGCAAAGATCCCAACTAAAAGATGTTTTTACTTAAATACTGTAATATCAGCTTGTCACAATATCAAAATAAAATAAAAAAACATTCTTGATCTCAAACAAAACAAGTCCCAGGTAATCTTCATTTTATTTCTAAGTTTAGAGTCATTTTAAATTTGCTAAGTAACTATCATGTTTAGACTGAATTTCTTTAGTAAAGAAGGCTTGTTTTTTTTTTATTGGATTGAACAGGTGATCTGCAACACGCATATGGATTGACAAAATTTATTGTTACAGTACTGGACAGCACCAATTTAATCAATTCTGATTGGCTAATTTTGATGTAATTGATTTTAATTGGTTAATTAAACTTATATGTTTTCTTTTTTTAAATCATTATAAAGTTTTAACTCTTAATAACTTCTTTAAAACAAAAAATAATAGAAATCCTGTAGTTTGCCTAAATATCTATCAATTTGTCGGAGGGTCTTTTGATTTAACTTGGTTTAAAAAAGTTATTATGATTTAAAGTTTTTATTAATAAAAAGTGGATGCGTTTTGCCGTCCGGTATTATATGAACATTGAACGAATATGTGGTTGCTGATCAATGGGTCATACTGTATCACTGAGTTTTTGTACTCTATGTTTAAAAGGAACTTGATTTTCTTTTGAAGATACGTATCTTTGTTTTACGTACAACAAATGAATTGGTTTATTGATGAATACGTATATGGGAATGACTTAGGTATTCATATATATATATTATTTGTATTTGTATAAATTTGGCATTTAAAGTATCGATTTGATTTACCTAATAAACTTTTTAATACGTACCATATGAGTGACGCTAAGGGAAAATGAGACATTTGTTTATCATTCTGTCATTGATTATTTAAATAATCAATGATAAACCAATGTCCCGTTTTCCATTGGAGTCACTCATATATGATCTAAATTAAATCCGGGTGTTGATCCTTGCTGCAGCAGAGTCATAGAAAAGCATTCGTGTAATTGGACAGCTCATGTCAATCCGACTATCGTTTTATTGTTACGTGATTTCTCAAATTACAGATTAAAAAAAGAAAAAAAAAGCTATTAGTCCCATATACTCAAAACTGTGAAGTTCTATAATAAAAGAATCTACCGAGCATCAAATAATTTAACTATAAGATTTTATATTCCAACCATGCACGAAATTAAAAATTTATCAAATAATTATTAGTTAAATTTTTTATCAGTTGTCCCAGAATTGAGAACCCGTTTTAGACTTGGTTTTTTTGGAATAACATCCTACTTTGGCCCAAGTATATAATTCATATATATCCAATCGAATCGTCTACAAAGAATGCTTTTAGAGTCTAAAAAATTTTTCAAATTGCGGTTTTTCATTGTTTTTAGCATTGCAAGCAAGCCGAAATTAATGATGAGCGTAATGAATGTCGAAGATCTTAAAAAACCAGAAAACAGGAATACTTAACATTTTCTAAGATCAATTTGTTTCAAATGGCGTTTGATGCACATATTATCTGCAGATCCAGAATATTTGTTAATGTATTAATTTTTCTTTTTTTTCTCATTACAATATTTACGCGTTGATTTTTATTTTCTTGTTAAAATATCATTAGTATGAAGAAGTCATTCTTCTCGATTTTTGTGAGTTTTGTTGTGTATCTTTTGGGAATTGAAGGTATGTGTATAGTATTTTCCTTTAATCTTAAAAAATATTTGTAGTTTTAAATTATTTCTCTGATTTAGCAGCTGTTTTCGCACAAAAAAATGGTACATCTAATGACACCTCTTGGATTCCATCCTCCACGCAACAAAATACAAGCCCTCAAGCTTTAGATTATTATTACTTATTATTTAACCTTTCTTATCCTGCTGAAGGCAAATTACCTATCTACATTATTGTAAATCCTAACAGAAAAGCACCGTCCCAAGTATCAATTTCATTGTATGATGAATTTAATAATATCAAACTATTAGATATCGCTGATGTTCCTTTAACAAACTATGAACTGGCAACACCTTTCATTGTATATACATGGAATGTGATTTCAGAGATTAATTCAAATTTCAATTTTACAACTGGTTATTTTACTTTAGTCATGTCATATAATGATAGTGACACGACTGTAACAAAAGACAGGCGTATAAAACTAACAAATGTAGTGGCTAGCCCAGGCGGTGCCCTAAACCCCGCTTTTACTAAGAATATAAATAATAATAATAATACCGATAATAATAATAATAATACTGGCAGTAATTCTACAGATAGTGGTAGTGGTAAAAAGAATTCTGCCGCAATATCCACTATATCTATTATTACTATTTCATTTGGATGTATTATCACTTTTATTATATCTCAACTGATTTTACCGATCGCTATTGATTAAAAAAAAGTCACATATATATATATATATATAATATTAGGATTTTAAGATATTTATTTAACCTACAATTTGATTTATTTAATAAATTTATAATTTTTATACTTATGAAGATTTAATACTGTAACACGCTGAAATGCATCTAGTCTTTCGATTTTAGTTTTAATTACCGATACTACTTACCAAATGGTTCAATAGTTGAACGATTTAGTATTATTCGATTCACCTTAGCGAGTTGAGTTGAATTGAATGGTGCTAAATCACCATTCAAAATCTAATCATTATACTACGTATATCTAATATCACGAGTCAATCATGTATGCATATAAGTACGAATTTAAATTACCCTCCTGTTCGAATTTAGGATATCAATCACTAAGCGCTAAAAAAAAATCAACAGCGATAAAATATGTGATAAATAAAGGTTCGTCCTTTTACTAGGAACACATTACTGTCTTTTTATCTATCTTCTTGATTAAACAAAACCATTCGTACTTATCTATTTGTTACTTAACTTAAATCATTTAAACCTACCCAGCTAACAAATTAACTTCTAATGTATAACATTAAATATACAAGATATTGCATACTGTATAATGCAGTGTTGTTACTAGCCTTAAGTCCAATACTTTTTTTTTAGCCTTATCCTTAAGTCCAATTGGTCAACACTGGCATAATGCCCTTTAAAATATCTTCTCCATTAACTGTTTTCGATATACTGTATACGTAATAGCAGATTTACCTTCTAAGCAATATATTTTGGATTATTCGCACTGAACATTTTCAAAGCTATTTGTTATACTGCATATAACATTGGTTCAGACCAGTCAGCCAATAGAATAGGGCAAATTCATGTGATATTATCTAGATGTTCATTTAACAACGAATCCTAATTGGTAAAATTTTTTGTGTTCTATTGCCTGTTACGATCAGATGAATGATAATCAAAAATACACAATTTTTCTTTTACATAATGGGTAAACGTTCTCTTGAAGTACGCATAAGCGATGATATTTCGGAAACAAAACCTGATATTCAAGGTCCTGTCTTAGGTAAGATATTTGCTTAATCCTAATTTTTTTATTTATTTTTATCACTTCAGAATCTTTAACGTAAATTTCTAGCTTCTTTTCAGGGGGTTTCGCCACCCCAAGATGTTGGTTTTCGTACTTACAAGAGTGCGAATGGTAGACGATCGATGGTCGTGGGAGAAAATCCCAGAGTAATATACGAATCGAACGAGTTTAATACCGATCAATCTTCCGAGTATGTCGAAAATTTCCCCCGCACTTAGCATTTCTGCTTATTGACGTAAATAGAGCATTAAGTTATTATAAACTTAAAACCACTGTAGGTATTTAGTTGCCATATATAATAAGAAAGAAAATTCGGTTACTTTTAGTTCTGTTCCTGTTATTGATTTGGTTCCTATTCCAAAACGTATTAAGATGGAAGAACCTAAGGATTCAATTAAGCATGATGACGTAATTATTATATATATATATTTTAAAAAGCTTCATGCACTATTATCTTTATCTAATTCTTATGAATATATCAGTATATTATGGCGAAAGCGGCACTTGATAAAGAATTTGGTTCAAAGAAAGCACAAGCAAAGATTCTTGCATTTGAAAGAGGCAATATTGATGCTTCACAAGTGCGTGATGTTGAAAAAATAGTTTCAAATATTGAAGAAAATGTAAAAACTATGAAAACTAAAGGTATGTTGTTCCTTATTTTATCCATATTTTTTAACTTTACTTATTTTTCTTTTTTATTGTGCTGTAACAGAAAAGATAAAAGCTGATATGGAATCAAGTCGTCCAATACCACCGTACGATATCAGTGCAACCAAAGTTACTGACATATATAATATGGATAATATCGTGACACCTACTGAATTTGATGCAATTCCTGTTGCCTCTATTTTAAACGCTAAACACGAATCTCAAAGATTGAGTTTGCTACCATTCAAGTAAATATTTTTATCATATTTAATCTGTATAAATAATTTAAATAATTTTTAATAAATATTTTTTTTAGGTCCTCAAAATATGTCAATTTTCGTCTTTTTAGTTCTTTAGATGCGAAAAATGTCAATTTAAAGCGTATACGCTTGTTATTATATATCAACTATTTGATGGCATTCAAATCAGTTTCTCATGATGTACTTAATAATAGACAAGAAATGTCAATTAAGATGAATGAACCACCGGATATCATTTTGACTAACCTTTACGATCGATTTACTGAGATGACTTTTGTCAAGTCAGGAGGACGAAAGAAGTAAGATGATTATTATTTTTTGCAAATCTTACATACCTTTATATTGTTGATTGACATATATTTGTACTTTCAGATATAAGTTCACTCCAAAAGCTGAAGAAAAACTATTATGCTACATGTTTACGCTTTGTCTAATTCTTGACGATTTTCGTCTTGATCCAGAGCAATTGGCTTGTGATTTAGGATTAACTACTAAAAGGTATACATAATATTAATGTTTATTCTCTCGAAATCATTTTAATTTATATGTTCTTGTTTATTCAAATTAATAGGGTTCATAATTTATTTAAAGCACTCGGATGTAAAATTATACCTATAAATAAACAAGAAATAGAGTCGCTGGGACTTAAAATTTCACAAGCAAAAGGAATAAAACGCGCTGTACTGACTGTCCCACTTAAACTTCCAGAATATAAAGACAAACGAAATAGATAAAATATATATATATATCAATTGTTTGTATTTTTGGTAAATATATTTTTTTAATATTCAATTTTTTTTTTTTTGTAAATTGATCTTTTATTCATTTATTGTTTTTGTAATAAATACAATTAGATGCGTCCGTTTTATTTATAACTTCATGGGTTGTGGTGCGCTAGATTTTGTAATCTCAGCTCTTTTTCATCCAATTAATAAACAAAATATTTAATATATTTAATAAACAAAATATATATAAAACTTTGAACAAAAGAATTGATAAATTTGAAATACGTGATTTTATACCTTAATTGTTTTGAAAAATCATCTTCGACATCTTCATCGTCCCAATTATCTTCCCACAAATGAGTTTCTTGATCTTCTTCGGTTTCGTTCCAATCTACATAATTAAAAACGTACAGATCGTAGCGTGAATATAGTTAAAAAAAAATGAAATTCGTTTTTTTTTTTGCGACAATAATCTTATCGATTAACAAAAAATGTTCAATGCATTCGTATGAATTGGTCCAAATTACTCGTGTTGATTTATTTGCTCTTTTAAGTAACTTTATTTTAAATAAGAAGAATTCTACAATTTAGTCAGTAATCTAACCTTCTGCAGCGAATTCTTCAAACTCGTCATCTTCTTCTAAAGCTCCAAGATGTGGTATAGAAACTTTTTGCGGTTGTGCACTTTGTTGTTGAGATGTTTTACTACTCTCACCATCAGTATTATCTGTTGGCTGCTTATTATTGGATGAAGAGGAAGAGGAACTCCCTGGATTGTTTGAAGACATAATTACTCTGGAATTTTTTGATCTTAAAAGATAGATTTTTTTAATACAATATTAAACGTCGATAACACGTAATTCCACAATTGTTACAAAATTTGATAGCCAATCAAAATCCATTAATAAAAGTATAACATCAATCTTACGTATATACCGTGATACCGTGTTTCTTGACATTCAGAAAGAAAATGTCGTGGTATCAAACAACTATTAGTTTAAAAAGAAAAGCAAGAGGCTGTCATTTAATTACAAACGAAATCGTGGGACAGGTTCCTGAAATTCGAAACTATAAAATTGGAATGGCAAATATATTCTGTAAGGTTAAAATTTACAATTATTCTAAACAATTTGCCTATGTGAGACTCAAATTCTTTTCTCTTGTTATAAATGTACTTAAAAGTACAACATACATCCGCGTCACTTTGTCTAAATGAAAATGCTGACCCGGATGTACGTGTAGATATGGAGATGGGATTGAATAAATTAGTTCCTGAGAATTGGCCTTATATCCATACAGCAGAGGGACCTGATGATATGGTAAGAAACCCGTTGTCATAATTCTAGATTTATTTTTATAAATATTATAGGAGCAAACTTGGATATATTCAGTAACAAGAATATCAGAACCGAGAAAGTGTGCTTTACAACAATCCTTTTTTGTAGCCTGGTCATATTAAAAATGCCATGATCGGCTCGTCTTTAAATATTCCTATCACTAATGGAAATTTGAATTTAGGAACTTGGCAAGGGTAAGCAATGTATCAATAAATTAGTAAAAAAATGTATTAAATTTAATTACGATTAATTAATTTATTCTTTCTGAATTTAGCATTTGGTTATTGGAACACAGAGAATATGCTTCAGGAAGAAGAGTCGTTGTGACTTTGCAAGGAGAAAAAAAGTAGGATTAGAAAAATTATAGTAGATTGATAATTTTTAAATATTTAAAACTGCTTAAAAAGTTAAGATTCTGCCTTGTTTGATAATTAAAAGTATTAAATATTTATTTAAATATGCAGTATACTGTATATAAATAAATTAAGGTTCGAGTAATTAGTTTAAAATTTTTTATTTTCTACATTAAAAATTATTATTACAATTATTCTTTTGTCTTTCATAAAATTTGGAATAAATTTGAGTAAATAAAAAAATATATATAATAGTTTTTAGCACATAATACGTATGCTTGTATAATAAATTAATAAATTTTTGTCTTAAAAAACGTGTAAATTCGGAATTCATTCAGTTGATTTTGGGAATAAATTTTAAATAATGCAAAGTAAGCTATTGGAATTAATATTGACTAATCCGTAAAGTAGTTCAAATCGCCCTTTTGATGTTTTGTAAGTGGAGTCAATATACTGTAAATTTCGGTAAAGAAATCTTTACTTTTTTTTAATTTCTTTAATTAATGGTGTTGTGAATCCAATAGCTAACAAAATTAATATTATAAAATTGAAAATCGCCCGGAGTTCTCGCGAAATTCATTATTATTATTAATTTGAAATCATTCTTCTGAAATTCGCAGAGAAGCTATACGATATGATTAACATCTCGTTCGAACCATCATTGCTTTCCGGGAAATAAATCCTTTTTGGAGAATACCGTTCTATTAAAATATTTCGATTTTGAAATGTACTGTCAATTCATTTGTCGACAAATGTGAATTGGTTTGTATATTTACTAAATGAATGCTGCAGGTGGAAACCCGCTGGTGAAAATTTAAGTTTTTCTCGTAAATTTACACAGAATAATTGAGGTATTAAGTATAGTTTCCTCAGGATGTGCATGCAAGATTTGTGGTTTATATTAACCAAGGTATTTTTTAAATTTTTATTTACTGACACATTGATTTTTCCTTCAGTTATATCGATCTAATATGTAAACAAAATTCATCTCGGACACCAAATTGAAATGGTCTCATTTACAAGAACATCCGATACATAAATACCTACTTCCACATAAATTAGAATGTTTGTATTTATAAGATTTATTTATCTTTACATTTGAATTTTGTACCAGTTATGTAGTAGAAGTAAACTTAGTGATTGGACTAATGATGGGTGACGCAATCACGTGATGCTAATTGTCACATGCTTTTACATATAAAAAATCAACATCAATTTTGATTTTTTATAAGTAATAGCATGTGACAATTGGCATCACGTGGTTGCGTCACCCATCATTAGATTGGACCCGTCAAAAAAAACGCCACCCGAGTGGATTAAAAAAGCAACCCGTCGGGTGGACTCATAGTCACCCGGATTTCCCGCTATTATGCATAAACAAAGTTATAGTTATACCCTTGGTATACAGTTTGTTTTAAAAGTCTAGCATCAAAAATAAAATAGTAATTTTTTTTAGATTGGGTAGAAATTTACTAAGAATTCATTGTTTATTATGCTTGATACGTAAAAAATGCAAAAGTAATTCTTGAGCGTCTTTTATCAATGGTAAATTTTTGAATAAAAAAAGATGGTTTGTATGGTAACGTTTAAAATTTACCCCCGATCCATTGAGTGGGTGCTTGAGAACACCCTTAGTCTAATATAAAATACGTTTTTGAAAAGTTTTTTTTTTTTAAAAAAAAAAAGCAATTAATATACATACAAATGCATATTTGGATTGAAGTTTAGTAAAGTCTTGCGCAAAAGATCATGATTGTTCATGGGTCACCAGTCGAGTGACCCACCCGTTTCCACCCACCCGCGGGTGAGCCGGGTGGCACCTATCACTAAGTAAACTGTGTTTTTACAACTTTCATAAATTAATAATTTTAGATAAAAACTTATTACATTTACAAGATACTGTATATAATTTATAAATAAAATTTTAAATAATGTAATATAATATTTTAGAGAGTTAATATTTCCACACTTCTTTTTTTGATGATTCCACACCCCCTTGAATGTAGTCATTTTTAAACTTTGATCGAAGATATCTTGGCTTCCCCACCTAGCCAAAATACCAATAAAAAAGGTTATCGAGATATCTTCAATCAAAAGTTTAAAAAGTTTATCGATTTTGGTTAGACGGGTGCTGAGATATCTTCGATCAAAAGTTTAAAAATAATTCTTGGCACAGCTTCTATTTGATAGATATATATTTAAAATTTTGCAAGAAATTTGATTAAAGATATCTTTTTTTATTTTAATTGTAGAGAATAGTAGAAATTCTTAAAAATTAAAAATAATTTACATTAACAGGGAGTGTGGCATTGTTATTAAAAAAAGAAGTGTGGAAATATCAGTTCTCTAAAATTACAGTATTAGTTTATAATATTATTTAACTAGATTTATAAAAATAAAAACAATTTAACTGTTTTTTTAATAGATTTAAATTAGGAAATTAGGATTAGAATTAGAGTTAAAGCTAAATATAGTGCTGAACATTTTTTACTTGTGCATCAAACGGAATTATTTAAGCTGTTTTTGAGTTATAATAACAGTGTAGTTAAATTAACCAGAAAGGCAAGTTAGCAATATCCCAAAATAAAAATTTAATAATTTAAATAAAAAATTTACAAGTAAATTTAAGTATAGCAATTAGTGGATAATCTGAATAAAAACTTTTAAATAAATAATAATATACGTATACTGTATGTATATAACAGATAGCTAGTTATACTTTTATTGATATATGTTAAAGACAACTATAATATAATAAAGCTAATTAAATTTAATAAATTTAAATTATGTCGTTATAATATTATATTTATTAGAAAATTTAGAACAGTTAGCATCTGTTATTTGAGTACAGTATAATATTATGAGATTCAAAAAATATTATTTACAAAGAATATTATATAAAAGTATGCAAATAAGATGAAAAATAAGGTGTGCTTCTATCTGCATCGCACAAGAACAATTGAATCAAAAAATTCGAGAGGAATAAGTGAAGAAAAAGCGAAAATATAGAAAAGATCAATGAAGAAAAAAAAACTAGATTATAATTTATTCTTAGAACTAGCTAAGTGTTTAAAAGTTCGAAATACAGGCAAATTATGTGATAAATTCATACTTTTTATTTAATTTATTCATAGGAAAAAAAAATTTACTTGTTAAACATATGTCAGTTCTTTTAATAATACATACACATACAAAAAGAGTTAATTCAATAATAAATTTAAAAGCATAAAGAAAGAATTTCGCGTAGAAAATGATGAAATTTCATGATAAGGTTTCTTCACAATAAAATGTAACACTCGTTAAATTTTACTTCACCCATTTCTCATTAGCGGTATTGCTAAACCCTGCAACTTTTCCAAGTTTCTCACCAAATTTATATGGCTCATTGGCAATTGCACGATTAATATCTTCTCTTAAATCTTCGCGACTAAGCACAATTCGGTCAGCAAAGTGATGATTCGTGTCACGATGAGTAGCTTCATCAGCACGGATCGCCAAAACTACATCGCGTAAAGTCGCTGTTTCACGATCAAGATGCCAGTAGTCGATAGCTATATCAGGAACATCTTTCGTGTTTTGAATATTACCCGCATCAATTTCTGAATGATTATGAAATTTTTAAATAATTATAAGAATTTGGTTGTAATTCAGTAAAATAATAAACAAGTATTGAGAAATAGTTAATTTATATAAAATACCTTTAAGAAAAGAGGTATAACTGACTATGGCTTCTTCTTCAAGGTAGCCAACAACACGATGTGCTGTTTTTGGGCTAAGCAAGTATAAAGCAAAGAATGCATTATAGAAAACACCTTGAACGAAAGTAATTAGAGCGCGTTCCCATGCATTAGGTTGAGAGATACGCATCCAAGTCATCAAGTGCATACTGTTGAATGTAAAATGAATTAGTGTACGAAATATAATTTTAAATATAAAATTAAAGATTATAGTAATAATAATTACCGTTCATTTTCAGCTTCATGAAGCAAATGATGAATCCAACCTCCATCGTGTCTCAATTTTCTAAGAGATTGAAGGTGACGGATGGTTCCTCCAACCATACCTGGAACTGCAGCAATCTAAGTGCATATATAATAATAATAATAATAATAATATACAGCATATATACACAATATTCAATATTATACATATATAACAGTATAAAAAATTTAATGAAAAATATTTATTATTACCGTTTCCAACATAACTGATCGATGAATATATTTTTTTTTAAAAAACAAATCAGTAGGGAGTCTCAACAGCTTAACAAAATAATAAGCGATCCTATCGGATATGGTAGAAGGTTCACGATGAAAATTAAGTTTAACATCAAAATTTTCAAGATCATTTGTTTTCAATGGTTTTTCAGATACGATGACTTCATGACGAATTGGTTCGGGATGACGTGTGTCCAATAATATTTCAGGTGGGATTTGTAACTCCAATTTATTCTCACTATTTTGTTGAGCAGTTCGAGAGTTAAGGGGAGATTGCTGTAATAATCTATATGATCCAGTTGTGAATTGGTGAGAAATGATGGACTTAAGAAACAAGAAACTGGTCAAATCTTGTCTTTTAACTATCATAAGTCGTTGATAACATATTGGAAAGGTGGCAACTCTTTTAGAAGCCAAAGCTATCGGTGTGATTACTGAACGAAACATGTTACAAGCACAATTATGATTTCAATTATTTTAACGCTCTATGAAACAATCTTTTTATATCAATTAAAAAAATATCCAATTTTAAATCCTCATGAAGAATTATCCGGAATTATATAAAGATTTCCTATACATTTTCGTGAGTTTCCGATTATTACGTCAAGCTTGTAAATCGTTTATGTATGATTATGATACATAATGACCATAATGATTTGTTTATCGTTATACGTCAATCACCACGGTTATCACCCTAAATTGATTATTCGAACTTTAAGGTTATTTTTATACGGTACAAGTGTAGAGCAGGTGTAGACAAGTGTAGGTGGCGTCCATGTGAAATATTGATTCTTCATTTAACATTATCCTATCCCCCCTCCATCTTCTGACAAAATAAAGGTGACAAATTTGCTATATTGATCGGCATAGTAAACGGGATTGTTCGGCTTATCGGGATTTTTCGGTATATTTGTGTGTTATTAATCTTTTTTTTTCTTATTGGTTATTTCCCAAAATTTTAAAAATGTGGAGAAATGTGAAAAATGATTAGTAAAATGAGTCATCATATAAAGTGATAAAATTAATTTATAATTATCATATGGATATCTGGATGTAACGAATTATAAACGGGCGAAGACTATGTGTTTGGATATGAGCCCGTGTGTAATTAGCTGCATCCAGATATCCGCATAATAAATATATTATCGTACGTACGTATGGGTCTTATATTCTCCATAATGAATACTCTAAAAATGCATATTTACCCAACAACGTGCTGGATTTAGAAAATCTACTCTTATTTCGAAATAGCGCACATGTGCGTACGAGCAGATTAATTAATTAACACGCAGGTGGGCGTTATTTCGCGCTTATACGGTAAATATGATTCATCATCGCGTAATAATTTTAAATAACTTTCTCTCGAAATGTCAAATAAAACTTTAGCGATCGACAACTTAGACATATAATGATTAATTCTTTGTAGAAGGCACGGATTCGCCATCAATATCATCACTAACTAATAATACAAAGAACGAATGATACAACACCACATCAGCAAAACCACACCGCAAAGATAAAAGAACAAATGATACGAGTAAGGAATAAAAAACAGTAAATTATGAAGTAACGGATAAAGAGCAAATAATACATTCAATAAGAAGAGCAACAATGCGAGCACCAAGTAATAGTCATAGTCAATTATTTGAACATCGTAAAGAATAGAGGTATTACAATAATATTATTCGATTCAAGAAACAAGCGGCTGATCGATATCAATTTATTTCCTTCTGCAACTATTTTAAAATGTAACAATATTTTATTCAGAATATATTTTATTTTTCAATAAATAGGGCTTTTGTTATTTATAAGCAGCAATTTTAAATACACTTGATTTAATAATATCTTTGCACAGCAAATAATTTTAAATACACTTAACCTGATACTGTCTTTATCAGAAAATAATAGTTTTAAATACATCCGATCTAATTAATGTTTTTCACTACGAATATTGATATCTTAGCAAATTTCAATATACCAGACATAAATATCTTCTTCAGTCAATAAAATCATGTGATTTTCATTTAGACCCGTGCAAATAAGCTTTCAAAAAAAAAAGCATGGTTGTCACATAAGACCCGTACGTACGTACGTGTGTACGATAAAATATTATTCTGCAGTGTCGGAAATAATTTAAACATCTTAGAGACGCATATATGGGCGCAAAAATACGCCATACACGCCACTGGGGGGATATTTCACCTCCCCGAGAAATAAGCACCATTTAAACGAAATTTCAAGCGACCTAATAAAAGTGATTTTTACGAATTCTATTGTATATATTGGTTATCAATAACCTGTCGCTCAATATCTGATATGTAGAATTCCGTATTGCCTAGTTTAAGAAACTAAAGCCAGCTGCCGGGTATTCCCTTTAAATTTTATAATAACGTTGTATGGTTTTCTTTCTAACGTTAAATGCGATGTTTTCACATTGAATTCAGACTTGTGATAACCTAACCTTTTTTTTATTTGTCTAGATAAATAAGCCACAATGTCGTTTTAAACTAGTATCATCTTTCTTACTTGAAAACTGTGCCTCACTTCATGTTTGAACAAGGCTCTCATACATCTGCGACGTTAGTAGCACGGTTTACAACTGCAAGGCTGTCACATGTTACAACCGAACGTGAAAACCATGAATACCGTTTTTTGGTAAAGTATTTTGTAAATTATAAATTGGTTTAGGTCGACAATCCGAATCTCTATTTTCGATTCGCTTTAACCACTTGAAAATTACTTTGAATACAAATTAACGAAGTGGATAAAGTGGTATTCCAAGGTTACTCATTTCTCCGACGGCCATTTTCATTTACTCGACATCACGCAGGTGACCTGCAACCATCCTAACTCTATGTGCAATGTCGGTTAAATGTCCTGTAGGGAAATGACTGTCGAGAAAATGAGCGGCTACCTTTTCTAAACACCAAAACTTTATTTTACATCATATATGAAATTATCGGATTGCTATACTTCAAAATAACGAAATAACGAAAGGCATCTTCACGTGAAACGTTATTATTGGCTACTGTTGTTACATGATATATAATTGGCTATAAGTAAACGGATCGTAAATCGAGCATTTAGAGACGCACACTCTTACAAGGATCCCTTGGTAGTTTCTCATTTACAAGTAATTATATAATAAACATAAAAAGAAATGTCTGATAGGGTAAGGATTTATTTCAAAAAAAGCTTCATACATCTATCACATTTTAATTTTCTATCTCTATTTTACACCATTTCACTTTAAAATGAATTCTATTCTTGTTTAAATGACAGGGCAGAGGCAGAGGTGGTGCAACACGAGGTAGAGGTGGTAGAGACGGTCGTTCTGGAAGAGGTGGTTACTCGGCCTTTGGAGGTGGTGATAAACCTAAGAAAGAATCAATACTTGATCTATCGAAATATATGGACAAAAAAATACGAGTTAAATTTAATGGTGGACGCGAAGGTTAGCCAAATTTTTCATTCCTCGATCATACATATGTGGTTAAATAATTTCTAAATAGATTCTGTTTTCCTTTTGTTCACTATATTGGAATTCCTGGGAATAATAGTAACTGGATCATTGAAAGGCTACGATCCTTTACTGAATCTAGTACTCGATGATACTGAAGAACAATTGAGAGGTACGACAAGAAAATTTTATTACGAATTATAAATGAATTGTTTTTACATTTATTGGTATTTTTTTTAATCTTTCTTTATATTAGATCCGGAGACCAACCATTTGTCAGACGATGTTAGGTCATTAGGATTAATCGTTTGTCGTGGTCCTGCTGTAATATTAATATCACCAGTTGATGGAACAGAAGAAATTGCAAATCCTTTTGTGCAAGAATAATTATTATATTTCACTCGCAAAAAAATTTAATTACAATAAACATTTAATATAATGTTTCATGCTAAACTATATTTCCAATACCCAAAATGTTTCGGTTTCGATGAAATCAGACTACTATAATTAGGGAGAAGGTCGAAACATCTTGGGGACATATGTGTTTGGTTTTGAACTATATTATAGCAAATAATATTGTTTATGTTATATAAAATATTTTAGTTTATTAAATGAATAAAAGGTATGTGACGCATATAACGCGCTATGACTCGTGCAAACATTACATCTTAGCCTGTCTCCACACATTTATCAGATGCTTTGATTTTGCCTGACATAATGACGGGCTAATATTTTTTTCAGATTACATCATATTATCATTTTTGGTAAAGTTTGAAAATTGAATTACTAAATAATCACGTGAAAAGAACGGTTTCCTTTTTCGTGGAAAAGAAACGATTCTTGTGAACAAAATTGATTCTGCGATAATTATAAATTGCCTTTATTAGTAAAAATATAAGGGAGCGTATAATGATAAAATATATGAATTTTTAAAATCAATATTACAATTATAATATATCATGAAAAAAAAAAAAAAAAAAAACCCCCGAATAATTAATTAGAGAAAGTGACTAATTTAGGATCTCGTGGTACCCCCGTCTGAGGATCAATATTATTGGTTTTAAATTTCCTTTGCATTCTGAATAATCTTGCCTGATCAAAATTGAGGCCTTCAGCCTCCATTATTCGTTTGATTTCCTCCGAATCTTCTAACCCTAAACGGTTATCTCCACTAACAATGTTTTGGTGAAGGTCAAAGGATTCTGATGTTAGTCCACCTTCAATGTCACTTTGAAATGAATTTGTGGAGAAAACAGCAGGTAAACGTTGATAACGTCGATTCAAATAAGGAAGTTTTGCAAGGATTGCTTTGCGATAATAGAATGCAACTTATTTAAATTTCAACATAAAAAAGTTAGCAAATTTGATAAAATAAAATATACACCATATATTTTGTATGAGCTATGACTTACCTAACACCAAAAACAAAAGGATAAGAAAGAGAAAGCCCAGCATATCTCTCGCCATTATTGCTAACCGAGACAAGGTTGAGATTCGGGAAAACAGGATTTCATGCTTGCCACAGAAGTTAGTTAACATGTGTTTATATTTGGTAATTTAAGTGGCTGTGAATTGTGACACACTTTGTATTCTTTTCATTGGTCGAAATTTTCGAGATAGACAACTCGAAAAAACGAAAAAAAAAAAATCCGGTTTATTAATGTCAGATAATTACTTAGTGATAGGAGGTGATGGTTTCGTGGGGCGATGGATCGTAGAAATGCTTCTTAAGCGTGGTGAAAAAAATGTATCAGTTTTTGACATTGCACAACGATATTTTGATAAAGAGGTTACACATTATGTTGGTGACCTTAGTAATTACAATGACATTGATAACGCCATTCGAAAAAGTAATGCTACGAGCGTGATCCACACAGCGTCTCCGCATTATGGCTCATCCTCTAATGAATTATTCTGGAAGGTTAACGTCGATGGAACAAAAAATGTTATCGATTCTTGTGCTGCTAATGGTGTGAAGAAATTGGTGTATACTAGTAGTGGAAGTGTGATTTACGACGGAGTTAACGAACTAGTTAATGCGAATGAGACTACACCTTTGCCTGAAATACCTATGGATGTTTATACCGAAACAAAGGTATCATTTCACCATCTTTACTTTCCATCTCTATTTTTTGTCAAACTAAGATTTTTCATATGGTTCAGGCAAAAGGCGAAAGGCTTGTGCTCGAAGCTAATGGAACTAACGGCCTTCTTACATGTGCCATTCGTCCAAGTGGTATTTTTGGGTGAATATTTATCCCCGATTTACTAATTACCTACAATTAGGGAAACGGGAATATATTTTATATCCAACAATTTTATTAATCGTTTTTATAACTTATAATGCCATTACCACTCAAGCCCGAATGACAAACAGTTTATTCCACCTGCAATTAGAGTTATGGAGCAAGGACAAACAAAATTTCAAATTGGTGACAATTCCAATTTAATGGACTGGACTTATGTTGAAAATGTTGCCTATGCACATTTATTGGCTTCTGATAAATTATTTGATGGAAGTCCGGTCGCAGGAGAGGTATATAGAATAATTGTAATTAAAAATTTTATGATTATAATATATAGTTATTAATTGTCAAATGCATTAATTCTTTTATAACAAAAAGGCATTTCATATCACAAATGATACACCGATACCATTCTGGGACCTGTTAAGATTTTTTTGGGCTCAATTTGGACATTATCCACCATACATTATTAAATTTCCAAAATCAGCAGGTTTTATAATTGCATCGTTAGCTGAATTAGCAAGTTATTTTACGGGAAAAGAACCTGGGTTTACAAGACAAAGAGTAAGGTTTAGTTGTAATAATAGATATTTTAATATTGACAAGGCAAAAAGATTGTTAGGTTATGAACCTTTAGTTGATTTAGAAGAAGGTATAAAAAAGAGCTTATCAAAGTATTAAGTAATGTTTTATAGAAGTTGTTAAAACTAGTACACTATAGTCTTTTCGATTAGTTATTAATTTTATTTATACCGAAAAAAAATTCTTGACAAGTAATATTACCAATTAATTTGCATAAGTAATGCGTGAAATCAAAATTTGTGATTTTGCTCTATTATCCACAAAATTTTAGGTAATTAAAGCCCTAATGTTAAATGGATGGTTGCAGATTTTTTGTGGTTTGTCAGAAACAGGTGCAAATTTCCGATTACTTATTTTGATGCGTTTATTTGTTTTTTGTTTTTTTTTTTCCGATGGTAAATATTTGCAGGACAGATTCGCTTAACAGTAGGACAGTGATGAGAATTGGACATGTCCAATTAAATTTTTTTGATTAGACAGGTTTGAAACTGTCCAAATTGTCCAAAAGTAACTTGAAATTAGTAACATATCATATTTTTATATTTAAATAAACAATAACACTAAATCACACCACTGGTTTCAACACTTCATACATTTTTGCTAGTAAAATTTAGGGTAGAGTGCTGTTATAGGGTAAGGGTTAGTATTAGGGTAAAATTTAGATTAATATAAGGTTTTTGGGGGTGCTAACCATTTTTACTTAGAACATTCGGTATTAATTGTTCGTTTCTCATAAACATACTGTATGTTTTCGAAAATAAGCTACCCTTTTTTGACATGAAAATCGTAAGAGTAGTTTATTTCTGATACATTAAATTTTTGAAAAATTAAAAAGTGTACTAATAAAAAGTTGCCAAATAATATCAAATTTTTACTGTAGGTGTACTTTAATGTGCTAAACTTTTAAAACAAGATAAATTGTCTTAGTAAAATTTTGACTTTTATATATGGCAACCATTGGTAAGATTTTTAAAAAATTAGAGATAACTTATTTTTAAATGGTAAAAAGCAATTTAGTTACTTGAAAAAAATTATTTTTTAAAAAATTAGTTTTTTTTAAAAATATTTGATGAAAAAAAAAATCTTTATTTGTTATTATAATATTTACTGTTCTCTATTGAGCCAGCTCAAATAAGCTTATAGAAATTTTGGTCTGGCTTGTTTTTGGCTTGAAAGGCTCATGAGCCTGTAGTACAAATCACATAACTATTTCATATAATTTTTATAGAGAAACTTAACCTATACCCTGGGTAGGGTTGGAGGCACGGTGCTTGAGGGCATGCCCTTTGACTAAAAGCAGGAACCATTAAAAATTTTTTAAAAAATTTATTGAAATTTTTCAAAATTTATGAAATTTATCGAAATAAATTAGATTTTTTTTGCAGATCTTTAAAATTAACTAATCAAAATGCAAAACTAATATCATGTAATAATCATGCTATAATCATTCAAATCTTATTGGTTAAATTGTATAATAGTGATAATTTCTTTTTAAACTTCTTGTTTTTTTTTTTTGGCACCTTCTTATAACTTGGCACCTTTTTGCTTTTTTGGCAAATATACCTTCTTACAACTTTGTGCCTTTTCACTTTTTGGCAAATACTTTTTCTTATTATATACAAAATACCCAGAATCGGAAGAGTTTTTTTTTTTTTTTAATACCAAATGAGATGCCATAAAAAAGTTACAATTCAGTCCCAGATACAAGAATTCAAAAAAACATTTTCATGTTAAAGGTAATAAATTAATGTACTGTTTTTGCCATCACAGTATTAATTAAGAAACTAAAGCTACGATAACTATATATATCAAATCTAATAGTCATAAAGATGTACAAAAAAAATTACAAAATTCTCATCAACTTACACTTCAATCATCTTTAACAGTCTCCAAAGCAAAGCAAAAAGTTATTTTAGATCTGCTAAAAGCTTGTATAAAAGTGGATATTCCTATTGAAAAGGTGAATAAGCTCCAAAACTTTTTAAAAGAATATTGCCATGAAGGTGGTGCTATTCCTTCTTCTTCAGTTCTTTGATGCCAATATTTGCCAACTGTTTTTGATCAACATCTTATAGAACTTAAAGTTGAGTTTTGTAAAAATTCTGTTTCTATAATTGTTGACGAAACCACAGATATAAAAGCCCGTAACATAGTCAATATATTATTCAGTTATAGAGGCAATACAAAACTTATTTTAGTAGAGTTTTTAGAGCAAGTAAATAATATTACCGTATATTGCCGAAAATAAGCCACCTCCGAAAATAAGCTACCACCTTTTTTCTTGGAGAAAAAATATAGGAAAATTTGTAATTCCGAAAATAAGCTACTCCTAATAATCCGGAAGTAGTTTCTATATATAAAAGTTAAAATTCTATTAAATAAATTAATAAAAGTCACTTAATAGAAGTTGTTCAGGACATAAAAATACACATCCTGAAAGTTTGAAGCAAATTGGAGAACTTTTTACTAAGATGTTTTTGCATTTTACGTTCAAACGTAAAATGCAAAAATATCTTAATAAAAAGTTCTCCAATTTGCTTCAAACTTTCAGGATATGTGTATTTTTACGTCCAAAACAACTCCTATTAAGTGACTTTCATCGATTTACTTAGTAGAATTTTGACTTTTATATATAGAAACTACTTTTGGATTTTAAAAAA